AATAATTGGCTAATACAATTTAGTATATTACAACTCGGGAAATCGCTCATTAAGTTAAGAAACAAAAAGAGTAGAAATATGTTGTGGTCTACTTATATCCACATAAGTAGTATATGGTAATGGTCATACATAGAATGTATTTTGGCAGAAGACCTATAAGGAAAGAACAGAAATGAAGCGCGATCGGTACAAAAGTGCATGAACAATGAAATCAGAGAAGTTGGACTGATATTTGCAGAAGGAACAGTCAAGATTGAGACAATTGATTGTTATCTTGCAAATTAACTGTCGACTGTATGGTTATCAGAATTTAGTGAGATAGTCTGTAATTTGTGATTAAATACATTCGATTGTCCCCAACTAGAGTTCTTGTTTACTACAGAATTGGTAAAACAAAAATATTATCAGATTTTCATCCATCTAGAATCAAGAAATTAGTAGGTTAAAGAGGAACAAAAATGAACAAAATAAGTGTTGATGATTAACCACTTTTATTTTAAAGAAAAAAATACAATCTATTCAACATTTTAATATATTTAGGCAAAATATTTTATGACTGATCAATACTATCCCGATAGATTTAAGTCTTATTTTATTATAGACAGTTAATTAGTCAGTCAGCTACAACGTAGGACCAGGTACAAATATGCATCGGTGCAAGTTGCTATACCTCGTTAGTACAATTACTATTGACAATAAATATTGTGATCAGTTATTAGAAATGTAAGATTCTAGGTAATTTATCACTTGTATGTATTTATATATATATATGACCTCATTGTCTAATGAATCCCGACAGACCTAAAAATTATAAGTTCGATCTTATTCAGGGTCATGGATGTACAATACTGACAAAAGCTCCCCATCAGGATAAAATAAATACTCAGTATCCCTTTATATTCAGTGACTCTCTTATTATCAAAAGTTAGTTAATACTCATATTGTAAACGTGGATCATCGACGAACAGTTTCGAAATGATCAATTAGTGTTTATTTCCGGTAAGTTTTACGTCATATAATATTAACTTCACGAATTCCTTTACAATAATTTCACATCAACTTCCAACAGTTATGTTTAAGCTATTTTATATTATATGTAATTATTAGTCAAGCCAACACACTTCAAAGTCTGTTAATCTAACGAAAATCTATATGTTTAATTAGTTCATGAATAAGATCTGGTTTATCCCTTAAATTCATTTCTCCTTTCAATTAAAAATAACTATTTAAAACTGTTACATTAACATTTTTGCCAGTTAATAATTATCTCTAAGATTAAGTCATTGATGAATGTGTAAAAATTTTGATATAAATATAATTGTTAACTAATTTGTTCAATGACATTTTGACTTGTAATTTTTGGGGGGAAACTTCAGAAGGATACTTTTTTTTCTTCATTTATTATTATTTATCCAATGCTTGAGAAATAAGGCTATATAGAGGCAGTACGCACAGGATGCACATATACCGATTAAAGATTGACCACTTACAGTCCTAAAAACATCGATGGAAAGATTCAAACAAGCAATAGTAAATGAATTTAATTGAAAAGTGTGATTATGGAAAATGTTAGTGAAGCAAGTTTAGATTAAATTACTTTTTTAATTATGATGAATTTACTAAATTATTGAGACGTTCCTAATCATAATGACAATTTAATAATTTGACTGATGTGTAAACTTTCCTTCTGTAATTTTGTTTTCTTTAAATTTCGTTTTAATGTCAGAATGTAATCGTTATATAAGGTGGATAAAAATTTCTGTCAACTTATTATCTAAAACCGTTTGTTTTTCTATTGTGTGTATTTAATTACTGATTTGTTAAATAACAATACTTAAAATTGTTACATAACCATGTATTGTTTGAATATGTGAGTTATAGCATGTAATGGGACACAATACACATTTCGTTCCATTTAGTATTCATCAGAAGGGCCTACTAAAATCACTATGTTGATATTTCAACTCAAACTCACTTTAAATATGAACACGTTATGCATTGAGCAAGTGAATTAAAATAGGCACCAACTTGTTTATATGGCAACAAAGACTGATCACATATAATCGTGATTGTTAATAAACAAAAATTACAAGCCTTCAATAATAAAAACAATATGGTTTAGAATATCTATCGATGTATAATGATGTTCTGTGTATTTAATTGTTTTATTTAATCAATTCACTAATTTGTAAGAATCATAAAATATTTTATTGATTTTTCTAATTATCCTCCATTAAAAATAAACAGTTGTTTCAATATTACTTAATTTGCCAAGATTACATTTTTAATAGTAAAGGAAACTTATTCGATTTGACAGTATGATAATGATTCCAAATTATTCACTGATTAACATTGTTATATTAATGATTACTATAAATGTGTTTTGAGTGAATGAACGTAGTTTTGAGAAAACGAAAATACTATATGTAAATTTTCCTGATAAGATTGTAGTTGCCTCATTGGTTAAAATAGAGTTTTTGTTAGATCTTGGCAAATAAGTCAAGCATAACTCTTAATCATTTTAGACTTTAACATAAAGATTATGTAGAATCATAATTTTATAATTTTCCATCTTATCTAACAATTACATTCCATATATCTGCTTAACTTTGAAATAATTCACAAAAGTAACATTACAAATTGAATACATTTTACTCAAATGTAAATTAGAAAAATGTTTTTTTTCTTTTTAGTGTAACAGTATTTCATACAAAAATACTATCGATCATAAATGAGACCTAGGAAACTTGTATAAATAATCTATATGGTTTATATAATAAGTTATATCACATGATAACTTATGAGTCAATTAAAGCTAGACCACCGTGATAAAGCACTCGGGCGCGAGACTGGTAAGTTCTGGGTTCGAATCTCACGAGGCGGGATCGTGGATGCGCACTTCTGAGGAGTCCCATAATGGGACGAAACGGCTTTCCAGTGCTTCCAGGTTTTCCATGGTGGTCTAGCTCCAATTGACTCATTATTTCAACTATAAAAATACTAAAATCTCCATAAAACTCCTTCTGAAAATAATAAAAACTGAATTTCATTTGACTCATCTAATTTAATATTTGTAGTCTTTATTTATTTATGTAAAACGAGGTGAATAAACAAATAAATAGTTCGTTGTAAACGTACTTAATCTGATTGAGTGTATAATACAGCATTTATTAACACTATTAAAATGATTAAATACATAATGATGATATAATATGTAGTTCAACATGATTTACTGAATGTCCCAATATCTATGTTTCATATTAATTGGTGCTCATCAAATAAACTTTTATGCAACCTTCATAAAACTGATATTTCTCGTGATGTTTTTTTTTTACCTAGGACCATATTATCATTTGACAGATACAATTTGATCAGAATAAGGAATTACATAAACATGTTATTGGTTACTATTTAGTAATCAATTAGCTTAGAGTTAATCTTATGTAATACAAACTGAAAAAGATAGTTCCCAACCTGAACCATCAAATGGTAGATAAAATACATTAACTTAACCAGTATAGTTATTTCAAATGAACTCTTAGAAGATACATTTATACCATAGAAGTCTGTTTATTATAATTGTTCACAATGAATACAATAATTGCTTGCCTACATTTTTAATTACTTTTGTCTACTGTCTTCAGACATTAAAATCTAATTAGAATTGTAAATTAAGAAATGACAAGTGATAGATTAACATTATAATCTACAGTTTTGTGTATTTCATGTTGAATATGTTATTTCGAATAGTCATGACAAAACATTAAAGTCATTACGTAATAAGAATTATGTAAACAATTAAATAGTGAAGAATACAAACGGAAAGAGGCCGAAAATTACAAATGAATAACGGATGTGAAAATAATGCTAATGACAACAAAATCAAAAATAAAATTTAAAAATGACAATAATAATGTCATTTGTTAAGTTATATCCGGTCATGGAAGGGATAGGGGGGTTACAAACTACTTCTGTACACATATATTGGGGTGAAATGTACGAATTCCTTCAGCTACATGAAGGGTACGGGAACAAACTAAGTCGGGAAATGATGGAGGTATACGGCAGATCACTCGAAATGATTTCGATATATCTACATTATGACCACTATCAACTAGTTGTGCCAAGATAGAACTGCGTATTGTTTTTATCTGACCCTTCCCAAACCATTCTGGTAGATGTTCACTCATTCATTGGTTAAGTTGCCTAGTAGTACGCCCAATATAGAGATTTATTGTATACCTCCATCATTTCCTAACAGAGTTCGTTCCCGTCTCCTTCATATGGCAGAAGCCCTAGGAATTCGTACATTCCACCCCAATATATGTATACAGAAGAAATTCGTAACCCCCGTATCCCTTCCATGGCCGGAAATAACTTAACAAATGACATTGTTATTGTCATTTTTAAATTTTATTTTTAATCTTGTTATAATTTGTCTGTAATTTTCCGCCTCTTTCCGATTGTAATATTCCCTATCTTATTATTTACACCCTTCTTGTTATTTAATGACTTCAATGTTTTGCGATGACTATTCCAAGTATATTTACCCACGTTTGACCTCTTATTTTCAATGTTTAACGATTGATAATACACGATTATATGGACGAAGAATATTCTTTTTATTAATTTCTCATCAGCTTCTACAGTTATAAATCCAAAATAAATATCAGAAGGGGTTTTGTGGAGATTTAGTATTTTCATAGTTGAAAGCGTGAGTCCCACAGTAGGACGAAACGGCCGTCCAGTGCTTCTAGGTTTGCCTTGGTGGTCTAGCTTCAATTGATTCACGCTTTCAACTATGAAAATAAATATGTTATTTGTTTTGTTGATTGACTGAATAGGCTGTTTAAAAAACTATAATGAAGATATCGTAACAAATTGTAGATTGAATTCTAAATAAGATTTACATAATTAGACATCTTAACTTTAGATTAAGTTTTTTAATTAATTAATTTAGAAATTTCAACAATATCATGATCACGTTTATTTTTACTTACCCATCTCAATAATTTCAATGATCGTGAACCACTTGAACGACAACGCATACCAGGTGGCCAAGAACAAGAATGTGTATTCACACAAACTCCACGTTTAATCCATCTAGGCCAAAATAATGGTCCTAAATCTTCCCATTTATATTCCATAGCACATGTTGCACGTTGTAATAACCAAGTTTTCATTATATTTACTTGATCCATAGTCATTTTAATTGGATAAATTAATCCATCATTATTAACTGGACGAAAAACAGTAAAATTTAATTCGTCTACAATATTTAATAAATAATTATCAGGTTTAGGAATATTTGGTGATAATGTTGAACGTGTACTTTTAATTGATGAACTTTGTGAATTTAATGGACTTTCTATAGACATCCAATCATTTTGTAAATCAGATCCAAGAATTCGACGTAATTTACGTATTGAATCAATCGTAGAACTTGGACGTAATTGAAGTAATGCTTTACTATCTATTCTTTCACCCAATACACGTACATCAACTCTTTCAAATTCATGTGAATGTTCCGGTGGCCATGAACGATCTTCATTCACTATTGAATGTTGTGAAATTTTTGATGATAATAGTAAAGAATTCTTATCAATATTTTCAGATGGTTTCACAATAATTTGAGCTCTTTGATTATTTGTAAAATGATTTGAATTAGTATTGGTTTCAATTGAATGGGATCCACTAGATAATTCTGATTTTTCATTCATTCTATATTTACTATTTATAGTAGAAGGTAATGATGATGGTAAAAATTGTGATGAAGCTATAGCTTCAGCTTGTCTTGTTAATATATCACTTACTTTAACATTCACTTTACGTGAATAATCTTTATCATATAAATCATGATTTAATTTTTGTGTTAAATATGATTGATGTAAACCGCCAGTTGTTATCATTGCATATTTTTTAGGTAGATTTTGATGATTTAAATCATTGAATTGTTGTAATGTTGTATGAATAAATAATAAAATTAAAACAGAAAATGATAAAATTAAAGTTTGAATATTATTAGATAAATGATAGAAAATAATAGACATGCTCAAATTTCATAAAGATAGTTGACATAAGAGTTAAGTAGTTTGTTCCTTTTTCTTTCTTTTTTTGGTTTTGGTTTCTTATTATCAAAATTAGAAAATAGAATTTTCTTTTATCTTTTATCCTCTTTTTTAATAGTCCTTATTATTTATCTTTTGAATTGGTTGCGTTTAATTCAATGTTCTATTTTTATATAACACACTGGCATATACAAACACAATTCAATTATTCCAATAGTCGAATATATATATATATATATATATATATATATATATATGTTGATGTACAGTAATCACATATTTGACTAAGTTTCAATGTTAGTCTGTGTGTAGAGTTACATTTGGGTGTATGTTTAAGGCAGATTTGTTTTATCACGTTAACTTTCAAATTGTCTAAAATAATCATGATTCGAAGTTTGTCTATAATGTGTTGGTCAGACGCTCATTTAATGTGTGTATATATATACATGTATGTGCATAACTAAAATGAATGATTACTATGACTAGAGGTCAGTAAGAATAATATAATAATCTTTATTATTTCATTCATTTCATGTCTGAGGTTATCACTAAGTCATTTGGGTTTATATTTTGTTAAAGTAACCAGGTTTGTATATATATGTATAAATGCACATGTTTATATGGGTAAGTGAATTGATCAAGAGTATAATTTGACATACCTTTTACAGTATGTTACATAATTATCAATGAAAGTGAAATGTTATAAAAAAAATAACACACTGCCATGAAAAAGGGAATGTAACCAATGAATTATGTTAATATATAAACTTTGATTATTTAAATTAAACAAAAAGAAAAAAACAAATAAAAGGTTTTATACATAAATCATGTACAAATTACAAAATAGAGAAACAAATATAATCAACATTAGGGTTGTAATATCAAGTTTTAATTGAAGATAATAATAACATGCATGAATAATTGTTTAATGAAAAATATACAGCATAATATTTGAATATATAATTTATTTATTTGAACACATAAATATTAGTACCAAGGGGGCGCCGAATGCATATGTGCCATACAAGTCACTTGATTTGTGTGCGGGCTATGATACTGACCGGGTGCCCAAACTGAGGAAGGTGGTTTTCCTAGGACGCCACACCCAGAGCCTTCCATCTGAAGGTCAGACCAACAAGGCAGTGAAGCAACATAAGAAAATGCAGTCTCATGGTAGTCGATGATCAACACTGGGTTCATACACCATTTATTCACTCAGGATCCTGCAGTCCATGTGCACCATTAGTTTAAAATCAGGGTTTTCCAACTCCTCCAGGTAGACTTTCCGTGTCCATCAACCCGGTTAAAGTGTCGGACATTCGCTTTTCGTCCTCTCAATTCGGTAAACAACACCTCCGTCACGAGAAGGCAGTGAGTAAGACTTCTTTGGCAAAGGCTGTATACGCATGACCGTGTGAGAGCATTTCGAGACGGAGAGTGGCCCTCCCCACCCTAGTTTATGCGTAGCATATATATATATATATAGTTTAAAACATCAAAAGGAACTGAGAAATCGATAACTCATATAAAATAGTAGTAAATTTTTATAGTTGAGATCATGAATCAATTGAAGCTAGAGCACCATGGAAAACCTGGAAGCACTGGGTTCGAATCTCGCGAGGCACGATCGTGGATGCGCACTGCCCAGGAGTCCCATAATAGGACGAAATCGCCGTCCAGTGCTTCCAGCTCTTTCATGGTGGTCTAGCTTCAATTGATTTACGATCTCGACCATTAAAATTACTATAATATCCACAAAACCCCTTCTGATAATTATAAATTTTAAATGAAACAACTTTATTCGTTTATACGTATATCAGCCTACATTAATTGTTTGTCTGGTTGTTAGAAGAGGCGAAGATTGGCAAAACAAGAGCAGTATTCTTACAATTGAAGATTATATGAAACTCAAAACAACTGTCAACCACTATCAAAATCACTATCTTCAATACGGATGTCAAGATAGTTCTACTGTATTGGGCTGAGACTTGGAGAACTACTACAACCATTATCAAATATGTACAAGTATTTAGAAATAATTGTCTATACAAGATACTGAATGACAGTTGGTCAGATACTATTAGCAACAGCCTACTATGGGAGAAAACAAACCAGCTTTTAACTGAAGAGGTAGCTAGGAAAGGACGATGTAAGTGAATAAGGCATGCACTACGAAAATTATCGAACTGCACAAAGTAAGCTCTAACTTGGAATCCTGTACATCTAAAATGTTATATAATGCTCTTAATTTTCATTCCAAAATTCTGTCCACATCTGTTGGTTTCTCTTTAGGCATAGATTATATTCATTACAAATTGATTTCATAAGGGATTTCACAAAAAAACCACGATTCACTGAATAGCTGTTTTGTTTCAGTGCGAGACTCATCAAAAGTGTGTATCCAAAATCATTTTGGAGGCCAAACATAGGATCTTCAGGTTTCGCATCGAACGTCTAGCCGTTAGAGCCACTGAATCGGCATCTAGTGATACATTCTAAGGTCCCGTTAAGTTGCCATATTTCGCGATGATTGTTGAATGTCACAGGTGACAGCAATTTCGATCCCGTGTCCGAACACCACCAGTCACACTTTTTCTTCAAATCCCTTACCACTAATTATTAGTATTATTTTTATACATTTTAAAATTTCCTATTGCTTAGTTTTCTATGACTTGCAAAAACTAAGATAAACACATCTGTATCAGGCCTCAGATTGTTTATACCTATTTCAGCTACAGATATTTTACAAATTTGTATGAGATTTGCATTTTAAGAAGTTTGAGTAAACTACCTATGATGTCTCACAAATTTTACAAAAGATATTGTGGTTCTCCTAGTGGCCCCCAAAGATAACAGGATATTTTCCGGCAAATTATATTAATAGCTGCTTATGAAAATATGTAAACAGTTGTTCTTCTGAGAGACAAATACTCAATAGTTGACATTAGCTTACCCCAAGAGACATGTATGTAACAGAATTTAGTTGATCTTTTAAATACAGTATGTAAACAACTAACTTCGTGAAAGGTCTGCATGTTCTCAGTGCGATATTCTAGGAAAAAACTGGAAGTTAGTGAGTAGATAGATTTTAGTTAGCAGTGGAAACCAAGATACTCTTTTCTTCCTAGTTAAGAATCTTCAGCTGAAACTGCCTTCATCCCAGTGTTGATTTCACCCTTCAATATTTTGATTATTAAAAATATCACAAAGACTCTGAAGACTAACTAGAATGATAACATTTGAAAAGCTTCGAAGTGTTAATAACATTCTGTATTTCTATGTAATAAAATGCTGTTTGGAAATAAACAGTGAATTTTGTTTTTGAGTGATACCCTCTTTTGTACAGCACTCCCGCTACCCAAATATGCCTTGTTTAATCATGTATACTCCAATCATTTTAACTTGGTCCATTTCAAAGCTACATTGAAAATACTGGAAATAGGTTCTCTTCTACAGTGAAATAATTTCACGTGATACTCTTTATTGATTTATATGTACTATTTTAGGGTAGGTCTTTATGTTTGCAAGAAAAACAATTGAAACTATACAACTTATGTTCAGTACAATTATTTCTAAACATAGAAGATATATTAATCATCAATTTAACACTTTGATATGTTTGTCTCAAATAATAATTAAATATTTTAATGAAATATCTTCTGGAGATTCGCTTATTTGATGAATGATATTTGTTGCGGATAGACCTAGGTTGTGTTATTATTAAAAACTATAGATTACTGAACAGTTAATTTGTCATAAGGGTGCAATCCTTAAAACTTCATACCGACCACCCTGCCAGTAACTCGACCCAGAACCTTCAGAATTTGTAGGATGTGATTAGACACTAAAATATTGGGTAGGATCCAATGTTTTACATTCCCAAATTCAATCAATTTGCGATATAGTATGATGATCATTCAGTGCAAAATTGATAATAGCTACTTTACTCCACCGATCACAACTTTCCACTATAACTTCAGAAACTCATCTCGTAGTATGTTACTAGTAAGCATACAATTATAATTTATATAGAGTTTTGTAATAGTTCATTTAGTTAGTTGGTCGTATTCGTCATAACTTGGTTTCACTGATGAACAGTCTTATTCTAGAATGAAACACTTGTCCAGTGCTTTCTGGTTTCTAATGTTAGGTCAGTTGAGGTTAATTTGTGACGAATACAACCCATAAATTATTATAGGAATTCAACATATTTCTGACAAACTAACAATAATTGGATTTGAGATGGAAAGTATTGATTATGAGAATAGATCAGTATAATGGATGCCAGAAACTGTTTAGGATACACTAAATTGTCAGTGTTTCTTATCCAAATTGAATTTATATAGTTCTTTTATTTAATTGAATATACTTTTCTATATAAACGTTAATACAGAGGAATTTTAATGGTTTCACAAACACGAAATTATGTTATTGTTTTAAATGTTGATCGATTATCATACTGTATGTAATTCTCAGGTGCATGTTTAATCTGATTATTCCAACAAAAATCCTATTTAACAAAGATAAATTTAAAGGTTTACGTTTTCTGGTGATTTTTTCAGAAGTTATAGCTGTAATAAACATATCGTAAATATTTTATTAAAGAAATACGATGTATTTTTACTCCTAACAAAATGTATGAAAATTGGATAATAGGATTAACATTTTGATTCTTTTACTCAATTTCTAAAAAATTGGTCACAACATGCGCCGACCGAGGTTAAATAATTATATTCCTGTTTGAGTAATAAAGTGTTGGTTACGAAGGATATTTGAATACTAACGATGGTCCCTGTTGCCTTACCTTTTAAAAATTAGGAGGGGATTACAGTTCATAGACATTTGATCATAATGGGCTATCTGGACGTAACTTCATCAACAATTACTAAGACAGAATCCTAAATTTTTACAATTAAGTATGATAACGGTTAGCAGTGAGTTTCGCTATTTAGATCTCATCACGTGAATTTAACAATATCCTG